GGTGGTCACTCTCGTACTCAGAAATAACAGTTTTATGTTTGGCATCCCGGCTGAATTAGGCTCCTATTATGAGCTTCGAAAGCTAGACATTTCTTTGAACGGATTTGTTGGACCCTTTTTGCCATCTTTGTTTGCATTGCCTTCAATTAATTATATGGATGTCTCTGCTAATAAGCTTACTGGTAGGCTCTTCCAAAACATGTCCTGCAATGATGAACTTGCTTTTGTAAATTTATCCTCAAATCTTTTGACTGGGGATTTGCCTGCATGCCTGCAACCAACCATCAAGAGCAGGGCTGTTATGTATGCTAGCAATTGTTTATCAGATGAAGAACAAGAGCAGCATCCTTCCAACTTCTGCCACAATGAAGCATTGGCTGTAAAAGTTTTGCCTCGAAAGCTCAAGTATAAGAGACATGATGCTAAGGCAGTGCTTGCATCAAGTATAGTGGGAGGAATTGCTGGAATAGCAGTAATCGGTAGTTTGAGTTTTTTGGTTATCCAGAGAAGAAACAACAGGGTTGCTGGGAAGACACTTTCCACAAGGTTAATAATGGAGAAAGTGTCAACCATAAACACAGTCAAGCTTCTATCAGATGCAAGTAAGATCCTCATTTCCTTTTCTCTCTTCCATTTGCTAAGGCTCCATTATTTTAAAACCAGAGCAGAGTAAATTAAGATTTAAGAAAGTAGTTGGATTTTGTAAAAGGGTTTAAAACAAAAACAAAGAACAAGGAATATTTATGCATATGGCATGTGACATATAGTGAATCTTTGATTTGCAGGATATATATCAGAAACAATGAAACTGGGAGCTAACCTTCCTGCGTATCGTGTCTTTACTTTGGAAGAGCTTAAGGAGGCCACTAATAATTTCACTTCTTCAAGCATCATTGGCGAAGGTTCACATGGCCAGGTGTGCACCTCATCTAGATTTTATAGTTCTCTATCTAAGTGTTATGCAGAAGGCACACAATGAATCTTTGGTATAGTAGGTGTGCCTTTGCATCATTTACTAATACAATCAGTTCAGTTGGTTGCTATTTGCCATTGTTAGTTTCACATGATGCAATTGATGATTCTAGATCAAACTTACGTGCTATAGAATGACAGGTTTATAAAGGGAAGCTGGCAGATGGAACTCTTGTTGCCATTAGAAGTTTAAAGATGAGAAAGAAGCATAGCTCACAGACATATACACATCATATAGAGATGGTCTCAAAACTCAGACATAGCCACTTGGTTAGCGCCCTTGGACACTGTTTTGAGTATTGCACGGTTGATTCAAGTGTCAGCATCATATATCTCGTATTTGAGTTTGTTCCAAATGGCACATTGAGAGGTTGCATTTCTGGTAAGATTCTTTGTTATTGAATCTTAATAACAATTATATGTATCACGAGGCAAATGTACTTAAACTAAAAGAAAGACAGGTTTATGTATGATCTGTCTTTTTGAGAACTAATAACTAAATCCTTTTGCCATTGCTTTCCAGTCTGGGTAGCTGTATAAGAAATGCATTTATTATGGGGATCATTGTCCCCATATTGTAAGTTATACATGCTGAATTGCCATATTGTACTTCCTGACAGATCTGTGTTAATGTTTACAGTTTCATGCTCCCCTTCTCTAACATTCTAGTTTTGCAGAAGGGTTACCAGGACAAAGGCTTAAATGGACACAAAGAATAGCAGCTGCAATTGGGGTAGCAAAGGGTATTCAGTTTCTCCATGCAGGGATTCTACCTGGAGTATTTTCAAATAATCTGAAGATAACAGATGTCTTGTTGGATCTGAATCTTCTTGTTAAGATTAGCAGTTATAACCTCCCTCTTTTAGCTGAAAATGGGGGAATGGTATGATCAACCCTTTTGCTTGAAGCAGATTGGTTACATTTGCTTCAAATCAATTCTTTGACTCGATAGCTCGTTTCAAACCATTTCAGGGGGGTGCTGGAGTTTCTTTACCTGGACTAAAAGCAAATGTTAGAGGAAGGTGCATGGTTAATTCTATTGGAAAATGCGAAGTTGCCTTCTCAATTACTTTAATTTATGTCTTAATCCTGTAATCATGTTCTTTTATATGCAGGGAAAATCACAAGGATAAAGATGATGTCTATGACATAGGCGTAATCTTAGTCGAAATTCTGGTCGGGAGGCCAATCATGTCCCAGAATGATGTCATGGTTGTAAAAGATATTGTGAGTTGCTAGTGTTTCCCTAACATCTACTTTCTCTTCTTCAATTCCTATACATTAGTATCTTCAGCTTGACTCTTTGGGACTAGGAACAACTTCAGTAAGTCATTGTGTGCCTTGTGCTGCAGCTACAGGTAAGCAATAAGATGGATGATACAGCTCGAAGAAGCATTGTGGATCCAACAATTGTCAAGCAATGCTCAGCTGAGTCATTGAAGACAGTGATGGAGATATGCCTGAGATGCCTGTCCGATGAAGCAGGTGATAGGCCTTCTGTTGAAGATGTTCTTTGGACTTTGCAGTTTGCAGCACAGCTTCAGGATCCATGGAGACTTGATTCTAACCACATCCATCACCTAAATGTGTCATCTCTTGAGAAAATGTAGCCTTTATTTAACTTTTGTTTTGATGTTTATGTGTCAAACTCAAGTTTTAGCCCATCAAATTTATATACCCATGTAACACAAAATTTCAACATGTTTCTCCATAGTTTCAATGCACAAAAATGTTTAGTCAAAGAAAATAATTTTCCTGTCAGAAATTACATATATCGAAATCATAACAAAGCAAATTGAAAAACAACATAAAATTTTACATCATTGTTATAAAGGCATTAATACTCATATTTTAGTATAAATCACATGCTTTCATTGTTAAATATTGTTAAAAACACTTAATATTGCTTACAAGAATTAATGTTTTCATTGTTAAATTTTTGCCCAATCGTGATATTTTCCTATTCCAACTGTGCCCAAATAGCCGAGAGCGCTTGTTAATGTCTATTTTGGGTCATTCCGAAATGATCATTCTGTTAATCAAACATCAACATCACGTGATATATAATAACAACTTACCTTGTATTGGTTACACCTTCTTCATTAACGTCAATCATATGATCTATTAACAGCAAGTTCTTCTTCATAAGCCCATACTTTCTTATAAGTTGTCATTCCCATATTAATATAAGCTTGCTCAATTGTTAAACATATAGATTGTATGATAGAGACAAAGCATATTTACAAGGAAATAGCTTTTGTTCTAGTATGCTAATATGTTAGGGACAGGCAAACTACTACATAATATTCTTTTTATTTTTTAAATAGATTTGTAAGATTTCTCTAGAAAACTGGGAAACAGAAACAAGATTTAATTTTGATATTTTCCTGGAAAATTTACTACCATTTTTCACAAATGTAACCTAATTAATTTTTTTATTGGGTTCAATCAAACCAAATTAACTAGCATTTTCAACAAAAGCAATCAAATTAAGTATTTTTTTTCAATATTTTATTTTTCGAGTCAATGTATAAATTTATCTGGTAAAAAGATATAATTTAGTCTTTCAAAAAAAAAAATAATTTGGAGCAAAAACAATCAAAAAGCAAAATTTAAATAGCTTTTTAGTATTTTAATTTTTGAAATTTAAAAGTAACTAAATAAAAACCACATTTCTGACTCCATAAGAAATAGCTGAGAAATATAACATCGAATGAGATTACTTTCGATATTATCGAGTTTTAGATCCTAACCCATTAATCATACCAAACAAAAACATATTCGAAAATCTTGACAATATTTCAAACAAAAATTAATGTTCCATGAACCAAGTGTACCCTAAGATGAGATGAATGTCTTAAGAACTTTTGTGCATGAAAGCTTCGAGCTGATACATTTTTATATACACTTTATATATGTAAATATAAAATATTAACTATTTATATATATAAATATAAACATAACACGATTAATTAATTATATCAAGATTTTACATACGTAAACGGATATATTTAAGAAACGTGTAATATGACACGATTAAGTTAATATATTTATTAGACGTGTCGGGTTAAATTTCATATAACACAACATGATTTGTTTACACGATTAACGCAATTGATACGATTAACATGATTAAACTATCAAACTAAAATATTATAATTGAAATATAATTCTATTATTTAAATTTACAACAAAAAATTATAAATATTATAATACTTATAAGGTATAATAAAATTTAATATCAATAAATCTTAATCATCATATATATATTTATATAGATCAATAAATAGACCTTAGTCATGTATTAAACATATTTACATGACATATGAATGCATCTAAATAAATGAGTAATGAATAGATCATGAATGATATAAGTACATGATAACACAATTAACAAACCGTATCTTGAAAGATTTTAAATGTGTTATATAAATTTAATATGGTTAATATATAAAACTTGATTAATTAAAACCTAAACTCGTTTAAATTTATATTATATTCATATCATGTTGTCGTGTCATAAATTTACCTCTAGAAACTCACCACCGTACCCAAGCCGGCTAAAGCCTGCTGACTTGTTTCTTTAAAGAAAAATAGCGCAAGACCTTGCAAAAGTCCAAGAAGAATTCCCAAAATGTGTGACATGCACATTTGTCCCCTTTGATCCTTTCATGCTTTGGTTTGAACTTGCAGGCCAACTGCAGGATCTTGGCCTAACATGTTGCTGTTACTTGTTTGACAGAATCAAAGATGCAGATCTTGTTCTATATTTTGGTAATTGCCACAAGGTTGGCGTTTAAAGATTATAGACAGCAGGATCATCTCATGCTCATCCAACTCGATCATATTTAGAAGAATGACAGCTCATCAGGATCTGTGTTGTCCCCCAATGAATGCAACTTCATGAGGTTGAAGGCTTTAACGAGGTCATTGCCCAATATGGTACTAACATCATTGATCATAAGGTTACAGAATTAAAACAGATTTAAATAGCTTCATAATTTGCAGTTGGAATATGATCAAGAATGTATACAAGAAAAAACTCTATTCATTGAAAATTTCGTGTATGTTTCTTTGTATGATTCCCTGTGCTGTAAACAAAGCTAGTTTACATGAAATAATTTTATAAGCTACAACCGCGCAAACTACAAACCTAAGGAACAACAACTCTATCCTTTGGATAGCGAACAATGAAAATCCGGCAATGAACAATAATACTCTGCAGAAGCCTGAACAACGATAACACTTTACAAAAAGAAATAGGAGTGAAGGAACAAAATCACCTTTTCATCTCCTTGGAGGGTCCAAGATTGGATTCATTTCTACTTCTAAAGCTCCAGTCGCCCTCTGAGTCTGAAACTTTTCAGCTTCCCTTGCAATCTGAACATCGCAAGGTGTGTACAATTGATAGAGAACTTTCACAACAAAACGCGGAATTAGTGCAACTATGATGATGACAAGCAAACACAACCAAAACAATCCCGTCCTTGCAATTTTAAAGATGGCCCTGTCAATTCATATCATTTGCCAAGGGTCAGACAATATACATTGAGAATTAAAATTCTAAAAATTCAATAAATCATTTACTCTAAATGCATAACTGGAGTACTGATCTATGGTAACTCAATAGCAGTTTAGAATCAACTAAGGACATTTTTTACCATCAATAATAATTGTCATTTTCCTTAGGGCAACAAGTCATAATTGAGATTTCCTAACCACGGGCCTGCTGCTAAGCACACAGAAACTCTGAAAACTTGGATGTGTACATGTATTCATATGCATGTTCATATCACATACACACACACAGAGACAAGCATATCTATATGTACACATGTATTAACATATATTTGTATTACATACTTTTGCTCTGTTAGCAGGCAAGGAAAAAACCTAATCTTTTAAGGTATGTTAAGGGGAAAGTGCAACAAAAATTATCCCAACATGCTTCATCATTCAAAAGACAGTAATACGCTAAAATTAAGAAAATAAAACTACAGATATCCAATCAGATGATAAAGGGGCTTACCAGTAACCAACTAATGATGGTAAAGCATCGATAATGATGACACAGATGCATGTTGCAATTATAGAACCCCAAATGGCTGCATGAGTTATCCAATTCCACCGGATGACATCCATGGCCAAGTGCAAATTAACCAATATAACAACTGCAATTGTCCAAAGATCTCCTATACTTGATCCATCAATGGTGCTGCCCCAGTATGCAAGAAGAGGAATAAAAAAGACAACTGCACTTTGCCAGAAAGTATCAATCATTGTTATCCAAAAGAGTCTTTTGTTGTAGCACTCTTGTCTGTGCCCAGCCCCATACAGCTGAGGATACTTTAAAAGAGTCCTTCTACCTAAGTCCTTGTCAAGAATACCAACAACAATCGTAGGCACTGAAGTGTAGATTACAGAATACAACACACTGCTCCACTCAGTGATTGCAGTGGTCAATGTGAAACAAGTAAAGAGCACATACCTGCACAATGTATGCAGATGAAATTTAATCAATTGACCAAAACGCAATTCAACTTCTATTCTAAATAAAGTGTAAATTATGATTTGGAACCAGCTGAGATCAAAATTCAATATCTTTATCCTAATTGAGCAAAGGAAAAATAGTACTTTTTTTTTTTAATTTTTTGGGGGAGATAGGCTTGTCTAGAACAGTAATAGAGGAGTGTACAAGTAACAGATCAATCAGATACATTTAAAAACATGCAATGATGACATTTTATAGCCTTAACCCCACTATATGCTCGGTTAGAAAATACCAAAAGATAAAGTCTCTCAGGCGATCAAGGTTTGCTTAAACCACCAACAATTACCCAATGAAGGTTGAATATTTGCATTTAGCACATGTACAAGAATAAATAATATATTTGAGCAAGCACTCTATCTAAAACTCACCAAAATAGAAGAAGGACAAACACTGCATTCCTGTAAAAATTGTATAATATCATGTAGCCCATCCGCTGGTAATTCCAATGGCCATGGACCAATAAAAGAGAAACTAAGAATCTAAACTGCCCCATTGCAAAATCTGATGCCATTACAGCCTGCCTACCCTCTTGGCCACTGATGCCAACTCCCACATCCGCCATTTGGATCATTGAAACATCATTAGCACCTGTAAAGTTTCCAGTAGAATTTCCTAAATCAGCCCAAACCACCAAAATAAAAGGCAGATAAAATTTGACAATATTAATATTTCTTTTTTGCGTAAGACGATGATTAGAAAATCAAGACAATGATGATCACCATCCCCAATGGCAAGTGTCATGTCTGAAGTCCTGTTCTTTACAAGGGCAACAATTCCAGCCTTTTGTAACGGGGCCACCCGACAACACAAAACCACAGAACAATTACAGGCTAATTGGAAGAGCTGCAACCAAATATGCAAAATGAGTCACACCAGCATGCAGGATATCAGAAACAGAAAACAAAAAAGCCAAGGCAAGTCTCTAACTCCTTACCAATTCTTCAAGTTCACTGTCAAGAATATATACAAGGCTGGTACCATCAATAATCAAGGCTACTGGAGTTAAACCAGCTCCCGAATTTCCCCCAGTGTTATTTGCAGTGTCTGACATAGTCATGAGTTTCTTAGACATGATGATGGCATCTTCTAAACTCTTTCTGCATGACTCCTTAGAGTTGCTGTTAATTATAAATTGTGTCATTTTACTTGTCAAGAGCTTTGAGGAGTACCCAATTGATATGGCAGTTTCTTGCTTGTCCCCAGTCAACACCCATACTTTGATCCCAGCTGTTCTAAGAGACTCAATGGCTTCTGGCACTCCTTGTTGCAGTTTATCTTCAATACCAGAGGCACCCAGTATACAGAGATTGTTTTCTATATTGCTAGCAACCTTCCGAAGCAAAGAGGCTCTACCCATCAGAGCAGTACTTGCTACCTCAAATGCAGAGTGCCATTCCTCAAATTCTGAAGTACTCAGTTCTCTCATCCCAACAACAAGTGTTCTCAAACCAAATAAGGAGTAAGACTGAAGATGGGCTTCGGTTGTGCGTATTATATTTACATTCAAGGATCGTTCTATGACATTAAACATGGATGTGTCAGCACCTTTTACAAACAGTTTTACAGATTTGTCAGGGAACCCCAATATAACAGACATCCTCTTCCGATCACTATCAAACTCGTGCAAACCCAAAACATTGAACCTGCATGGCCGAAAACATTTTTATTCAACATTAAAAAATTAATATAATTCAAGTCCAGAAGTACAACACCAGCACATTTTTTTTTGAAGCATCTCAAACGCCAATGTAGCCTTAAAAGTACAAAATGCTGTGACATGTCTCTTTCTTTTTAATGAGTGTGTTTACTGTTATGAATGAGTTTGCTCATATATTTGTTCTCTATAACAAAGACCAAAAAATGGGGGAAAAATCATACTATGTATAGAACTTTAAAACTGTATGCACAACTCCATCTATAACTACCACACTTCTCACAGAGAATTTAATTCCATCGACTCCCAGATACTAGCTCTCCAGTGATCTGACAAACTGCCTTGCATCAACCTTGACTGCTTGAATCAGGTGAAAGAATTCCAAATCTTGCAGTTTTATCATCGTTGAGAGACAAAAGAAGGCTACCTTGGCGCAATCAAGCAAACATGCAAATTGCAATTTCATCTCCTCCACCTCCCCCCGCGCCCCCCCCCTCCACCCCCCAACTTTTTTTTTTCTTCTTTTCTTCTCCAAACCACAAGAAGTTTCAAAATCAATTCATCAATCTTAAATTGATACTAAAATAAGACAACATTGATAGCAAAACACTCATATTTAGTAACTAAACTGGTGCTGGTGGAGGTCATCATAATATAACTTATCACAGAAACTGTGGAAATTAATTCAAGTAGATAAAAGTCGGCACTGCAGATTACCTTTGCCTTTCTCCTTGAATGTCAATAACAATATGGCCAGAAGTTCGTTCCATCAGCATAAATCCATATGCTGCAGCAGCATAAACCAATGCTTGTTCATCTGGAGACTCTCCTTGGTAATCTATCAACTTCACGGTAGGATCAGGCATATCTATGATTAGAGGCACAACTGTATTGCAAGCTGCCAGTGCAAGGAAGAAATCATAGACATGACTGCCTTCTTTTGTCTCTTTTCCACTCCTCGCAAATTGTAGAAGCTCTGGGTCAGTCTTTACCTTCATCTTAGGCCTCAAAACTTTACCATCCACTGATTTAGAAAAAATAAGTCAGAATTATGCTAAAGAAACCTCAAAAAAAATTCCTTTCTTACACAGAAATAGTAAAGATATATTAGTTGTTTACCTTGGACATAGCAACCATCTTCTGAAGAGGCCTTTCCACCATTGTAATCTACCCCCCAAATGCTTGCACATTGAAATTCCATCTTGTTCTCAGTAAGTGTACCGGTTTTGTCAGAGAAAACGTATTTTATTTGTCCTAGGTCCTCATTTATATTCAAAGCCCTACACTGAAATCTTGCATTTGAAGACTCATCATACATCTGGGTATCTCTAATCATGAAGTAAGCCTGACCAACCCGGACTAGCTCCATGGAAATATACAATGAAATGGGAATCATGATCTGGAACACAATTACTGACATGAGGAATGTGAAAAATATTTCCATGCCCCATCCATAATAATTATAGTTATCTTCTTCCCCATCAGAAAAGTCTTTTCTTCTGTAAAAGGGCAAGTAATCCAACTCGTCCCGGTGGCGCCTCAGCCAAACACCAGCACAGACAGACACAACTGTACATAGAGCAATAAGAAACAGAGAGAGGATGATTATCTCTAAGTTCATATGGGTCTCAAGTCGGCTCCTCTTAGATGGGGCTCCTGAGCTGTTAAGCATCGCTTTGGTCTCACGGCCAGCATAGACAGCAACCCCAACTGCCCAAGCAGTATTTTTGAGCTGACAGCCACGAAGAACAATATTGGAGGGACCAAGCGACAGCCGTTTCCCATCAATTTCCATGTTGGCCTGAAACCCATATATGTTCCTGTTGGGTTTCTCACACTTAATCAACCCAGTAATCTTCCCCTGTTCAGGAATCTTCGTAAGGGTCTCCTGTTTTGCATATCGTGTCTTCAAATTGGACTCTCCATCCAAATTAATAGTCTGCACGTATGCAACCCCAGTTGGATCACTAGTGGAGAGCAGCACCATATCACAAGGAATAGTTTCATTTGCATGAAGCTTGATTATCTCAGCAACCTGAATGTTCTTCCATTTCTTTTGTTGAAATTGATAATTTACCAGAACTGATGCTAGCCTATTATTCTCAATCCTATCCGACCTATGCCGCCTGTAGTCCTCATATGCATCCTTAACTGCTGTAACCAGAAGTACAAATGCCAATGGCATAATGGAAGCTCCACGGCCAAATACCGCAAGCTGAGGCAGCTGATTGAGCACAGCAATCACAAGGAAGTATATATAGGCAACTCTATGAAACTGCTCAAACAAGTTCCTAGGCAAAAATGTTAGGATTGAGTACTTTGCTGTCCGAATGGAATTCCCAGCAAACTCAAACCTCTCATTTGTCTTGACAGGATCATTTATATGTACCAACCTAGCATCTTCATCATTGATCTCTTTCTGTGACATGGCATTTGTCTCTGAATCAGCACCATGGGATCCATATCTCACTGGCTTTGATCCCAAATCACTAAAATTCACTTCCCTAACCGAATTGCCACCTGAAGCCTTGGACTGAACAGAAAAATTGCTCCTCCTTGAGGAGGAACTTAAGGCGGGCTCAATACTACACAAATTCTCAACTGGGGTTTTTGAATCCATCCCAAAAACAAATACAGGATCCCCTTCAACTCTCTTATCTTAGATCAGAGGAATATAAAATACAGTAACAAAATCTACAAAAACCACTTTTGAGGCTATGATCTTCGCCTTCAACTCTCTTATCTTAGATCAGAGTAATATAAAATACAGTAACAAAATCTAGAAACCATTTTTGTGGCTATGATCTCTGGATCAAAGACCTTTCTAACAGTTCAAAGTCAATAAATCAACAAAATTCATGAAATACCCAGACTATGATTTCAACCAAACTTCAGCAACGGATATTACGAAACAAAAAAAAAGACAACCCAGAATTCTAATCAGCAGAGTAAAGCCAGGGGCATACCCCAAAATAATTTACACATAAAAAATATATGTATACATATAAATATTGTACAAATACAAATACAAAGAAAGAAAGGAAGAAGGAAAGGACCTTTTCGTTAATCTTTGTTGGTATATAATTTAAGTGAGTAGCGTCAAGAAGAAGCCATCGAAAGGGATAATGGAATATCTGTACAAGGAAAGGAAGATGTGGGAATTATGGCGATTGGGGGGGTTCGCTTTTGTGTTGTTGCAATGGCGTGTTCGAGAGAGGGAAATGTCCAAAGTCAAAGGCATTTTAAGAGACGATGGCGGCCTTTACAAGAAAGAAAAGATCGAGGAAGTCTTAATGGGATGGCGACTAGGAACGATCAAATCCTTTTCGTTTCATTACATTTGACAAGCCAAACCCAATTTTGTTTGACAAGGAAAAGGAAATGTCTTCTAGTTTGGCTGCCCCTTTGACATTAAAGACAGAAGAAGGTGCTTGGACAGTGATTGCGAAAATTACAACAATTCATTGTTTTGTATTATTTTTTTGTCTCTCTCTCTCTCTAGAAGGTGTGGACTATCCAAAAATGGAGAAACTGACTCCTGAATGCCATTATTATTATTATTCATTAAAGGGTGTCTAATTAAATGAGGTTTCCCCCTCAGGAAAGTAGGCAGACTCAGACACAGAGAGAGAGAGAGAGAGAGAGAGAGAGGTGGTTGATGTTTCTTTTGCATGTTCTTGCAGCTCTTTTCTCTTATTTTCTTTTTGCGGATTTAGTAGCTTAGCATTACCTGCTTCTTAAAATAAGCATATTAATTAGTTAATTAATTAATTAATGGTAAATATATTTTTTTGAAAAAAATATTACTATAATCTTTGTCATTCAATGATTAATGATGTTGATTTTGACATCTCAGTTTATATTTAACTCTAAGCCTTAATTAAAATTAGAATTTAAATAAAGGTCTCTAAACTTGGAATCTTTCTACATGGATAAGGAAAAAAAATGCTTTTGTAAATGAACATCTTACTAGATATAACTCTAATAAGTCTCTAACTAACAGTATTTAAAGGTCTAGTCCTATTTATAATTATATTCTAACAAACTGACAGTATTGAAATATAATTCTATCTAGATATTATACTCTTTATTTTATTATAATTTTAATTAAATAATTTGTATTAAACTTAAATTTTTAAAATTTTAAGTTAAATTTATTATCTCTATCTCATACTTTGTTAAAATCTTTTGTTATTGACGACGAAATAAGAAAGAGACGCCGCTTTTGTTTATGGCAATGAAATGAATAAAGTCACTCTCATAAAATTAATAATATAGCCAATATTAATAGTATTTAGAGATAATCTGTAAACTAATTGTTAAATTAAAATTTTTCTTTTTTATTTTATTTTTCATATTTTTAATTACAAAGCAAGTTAAGAAAACATTTTAAGTAAATTAAAAATTTTATATATTTTTGAATAATAGCCGCAATAAATAAAAATTATATAATTACATTTGAACATTTAATTCAAGATGCATAATATTTTATTTAAAAAATATGACTTTAAATAAAAAAAATAAAAAAAAATTATGCAACCAAATAAAGCAGCATCTCGTTGCTTTGACATTTTGGGTCCTTTCCCATTTTTTAGCGATAAAGATTAGATTTGTTGTGGGAATTTTTATTACAACCGAAAAAGCAATGTAGTAATTAATAAATCCGTGGCTTAAAGTCTCCAATCGCGGAATGAAGGATGGCCTTTTTCCTTTAGATGATTCCAATACTATATACATAGGAATAAGGTCAAGTTTCCAAAATTCAAAGCTAATGACGTCCAAGTGGACCATAATTGTTGAATTTTATTCTATGTTGGAACTCATTTGGAAACTTCAATGCCTTTAAAACAAGAATTTATTTATTTATTTATTGTTATATGTATCTCGAGGAATTAAACTTTCCAAATTTGAAAAGGTTATTTGATTTTATTTGAAATTGAACTTGATTAAATTCGATCTGATAAATAAAGGTCAATAAGTTAAACTCAAATTTATTCAAATCCAAATTGATCCAAACTTAAAACGATTAGATCTCAAAAAGACTTGAACTTAAACTTCTTAAATTTAAATTGATAGTAATTTTATTTTTTTAAAAAAAATATTAATTTAATAATAGATATAACATAAAATTTTAGTTTATTAATATTTAATAACTTTAAATTAAGCATAATGCTAAAATAAGCTCTTAAAATATTTAAGAAATTCAAGTAAGCTTTTATTATTTTATTATATTCAATTAACTCTTATATTTTTATTTTATATTCGATAAGCCCTTATGAGATTAATAATTAACTAATTATCATTAGTTAAAATACTACTTATCATTTTATATTTACCTAATATTGACGTAATGTTGATGCGGAGGATGAAAAATGTTATGTAATTATATTATTATATCAAATTAGCATCTTACGTTATCATCAATTATAATATGTCATTATATCACATCATCATCAATTATAACATGTTAACCAAACACGTCAGCATCACGTAGTATAGAATATAAATAGTACTTTTGACTAAGTCAATAATTAATTATAAAAGTTTTTTTTTTAACTCACAATAAAAGTATTATGACTTCTATGGTTCAAAATAAAATAACAAGGGTTTGATTCAACATAACAAAAGAATAAAAGTTTATTTGAATTTTTCTAACTAGTTGAGATGCCTTTTGAATATTATATCTTAAATTTATTTAAAACCTTTACATAAAACTTCTTAAACCTCACGTAAAAAGAGATACTGAAGCTTATAAAGAGTTAATAATAACTTTAAAGTAATTAAATTATGGACTATAGCATGTATAGTATTTGGTGTAAGACTGGTGTAAACCTAGCATTAGTTTTGTTTTTTTTTGTTGTCTAAGTATTTTGTATCTATAGATTTTTGAAAAGTGATATGAATTTAAGAAAATATGCATAAAATTAAAGAAGTATTTTTTTATTATGAAAAACTCAATAGCATTCTAAAAGTTTTCAATGTGGATGTTTGTGATTAAAATTAAAAAATCAAGAATTATACAAAGTTTTCCAACTAGACTACAACAATTCCTTTAATACGTGAAAAATAATATTCTAAGACTCGAAAGGATAAATAAAAGTAAACACCTGAATATCACATAAAATAAAGAGATAAAAATATTATTATTTTAAATTATATTAGTTTTTCCAATTTTATATATCAAAATTGAAGTCATCAAACTTATGAAAAACTTTAATAATAAAAAATATATGAAATAGAAGTTGAGACTATGTGTGACCAAGATCTCATACATGGGCATATAACTTGTTTATAGAAAACTTTGTAATTGAAGATGAACACCTAAACACGTGTGTTGAAAAGTAACATGTATGTAATTGGAAAAACTTAATTTTTGCCTTTAATATCAATAAATCTTCAATATAATTAGTTATGTCAATTTTTTCCACATTTTTCCTTCTCATGCTTTGTTATGCTCAACATGCAATTCAATTGCACATAAATCACGAAGAAATGTGAGATCTCAACAATTGCATTCCAAATAGCTTGAGGGACTATATCATGTAAGGCAATTGGAAGCAACTATTGTAGGAAAACGTGACTATCATGACTTATCATCTCATAAAATCTGCATTTTTGCGCATTCACACAATTTGCTATATTAAAGGCAAAACCATCTAGTAATCATAACTATTTAACCCAGGCACACATAGCTTTCCATTGCTCTTTTGTCAAAGTGTATGAGGTTTTCGGTTTAAAAAGTTTACCCTTATTTGCAATTAAGTGCAATTTCAATCACTTGCAATACACATGTAAATCACAACAAGCATTGATATTGTCTGTTATCTTTTATCTTTCTCGGGACATCCATCATCATGTTGAATATATTATTGAACATGTTACACTCAATATACATCACATCTAAGTTGTGATGAATGAGATGTACCTGTCAATATGGTAACTCTTAAAATATGCATTTTTTAGCCCAATTATATGTTTGACTGAAATCCGGTAGGTTTTGATCGCCCACTTTTATCCCACACGTGATATTTAAAATTGACTCCAATCATTCCAAGATCTTGACACCAGATAATCAAGGAATTGGAGAGTCTTGTTCAACATGTTTCTTAAATTTATTTCTTTGGCAACGAAAAGGATGATCCATCAGTAAAAAGTGCCGATGACAATAAAATAAACAAGGCTTCTTCCCGTACTTTGAGAAAAAACTCTTTTCAAGTTCCATACAATATAGACATGATAAACGTTTGTGAGTGCTTCACTCAGACAACATACCATATGAAGGGAAATCATTAATAGTCCATAGAAGTGCTGCTCATAGAATAAAATTTTTACGATAAAGGCATTGTTGGTGACCACATTTTCATTTCACAGAACTTTTAACTCATTAATCAGAGGTCGAAGGAACACATCAATGTTTTCTCCAGGACTTGTCCTATCTAGGATGACCATACTAAGAAAGATGTATGATTGCTTCATCCACATTCATGTAGGTAAGTTATAGACAGTAAGCATTACCGACTAAACAGAATACGATTTTACTATTGACACAAATGGACTGAAACCATCTGAACATAAACCTAGTCTGATGTATCGCGGCTCAAAGTCAAAAAACTGATGGGTGCGATTAAAATGTTGCCAAGCTTCACCATCAACAAGATACCTAAGCACTCTATCATTAGATCAGTGTGTGGCATGCCATGTCATATGTTCTATAATTTTGCTTAACATACATAACCTCTACAATCTTGGCGTTAGTGGAAAGTATCGTTAAATCTTAAAAAGAATTATTTTCTCCCTTCCCTTTTGATTTATTCGATTTATACTAAGGGTGACTACAACATGGATAATAAGACAACTTGGAATATTCATTATAAAATAACATATAATTATTCTTACAAGCATGAATTTTTTCATAGCCAAGCCCAAGTTCCTTCAACTATGTCTTCAGTTTATAGAACTTTTTCAATAATGATTCATTCGATCTCAACATCTCTTTCACTAGATGCATCAGATGATGAAAACATGCCTCATTCATGTTAAACTCTAATGTCACATTCAATGAAAGAGATGTGAAGTTTTTTCAATTTGTTTTTCTCTACCAACAACTAAACACCTAAAATCTACTGACAGCTAAACAAATAAATGCCAATAGCTAAACACCTAAATGCGAGCAGCAAACAACTAATCAAGCTAATTTTTCTTAACAACAATAAATCATTGAACTCAAGTTCAAACCCAACAACAAATTCAAACAAATGCATAACAAATCAAACAAACTACTAAAAGAAAAATCATAATGCCAACAACAACAATAATGCTTAAATGCTTAAAATTCTAGCACTAAATCATAATCTTAGCCACAAACATGCATAAAAATTCTATAGATAATGCCAGCAACAAATCAAACCAGCAACAGTCACAAACATGCTTAAAACCCTAAACCTTAAAACATAAAAGTCTTAAATCG